ACTGTTTAATGAGAAACTATTTGTTCTGTAAACCTTCACCTGAAGTATAATTAAAAAAAAAAAAGAAGTACTGATACATGCTACATGTATGAACTTTGAAAACATGCTAAGTGAAAGAAGTCAGACATCAAAGGCCAAATTCTGTATGACTCCATTGATACGAAACGCCCACAACAGATAGATCTAGAGACAGATTACTGATTGCCAAGGGCTTGGGGTAGGGAGAGTCACTCCTTAATGGATATGGGATTTCTTCTTTGTGGTGACGAAAATGTTCTGGAATTAGATAGTGGTGATGGTTGTACAACATTGTGAATGTACTAAAAGCTACTGAATTGTATTCTTTAAAATGGTTAAATGGTGAATTTTATGATATGAATTTTATGTCAATAAAATCGCTGAATTAAATCCCTGTGCTTGTATTAAACAAAAAAGCATCAAGAGACTTTGGTTTATTTTCTAAATTTCACTTTTGAAAAATCTAGCAATATCTGTGTAATTGTTTAGCTGATCTAAAGTTTGCTAAAATGCATTCAGGTCAATAAAGACCATAAATATCATTATTTGACTCTGTTTTCTGTATGTTCTTGTAGCTTTCAAGGAAAAAAAAATTCTATCACAAGCACCATTAACTACAAGATAAAATGCTTAAGGTAATATCTGAATTACAAGTCTCATATGGAGAGAGTTCTTTTCATTAATTACTAAAGGATTATTATCTTTAAAACCTATATCAAAAACTTGCCAAATGTTACTAGGTTCAGAAACCAAGAGACTGGATTAATTAAAAGATAATTATCACTGGGCAAGGAATCATGAAATGTAACCTAGATCACGCCTAGTACTCAATTGACTGTAACTGTTTCCACACACCCTGAATGCACAGCTTCCTTTCTGTACCAACTCCCTCAGTTTTCATGCCTCAGCATTTCTCCATGTTGCCTCCTTCCCCATGGATTGTCCCTGGGAATTCTGTGAGAGTAGTTGACGCTCTTCTACTTCAAGCAGGAAATTGCTGGGGGAGGAACTTCCTATGAGAGGTAAGCTTTTCCCTGCAAAGTACGAGGGGCGGGGGTGGGCAGAGTGTAGTGCAGGCTGCCTAAAATAGATCTTGAGCTACACAGCTCTGCATTGGGTGAACCAACAGCCTCCTCACACCTCATATTTGCATTCCAGTTCACAGAGCGATTTCACACACTAGCTAGCAATTCTTCAGACTGGTGTCAAACCAAAGGGATTCACCTCATCCATCACTGGACTGCAACTGCCTTTTGAGGGCCACAGCAGGCAATGAAGGCATGTTCCCTTCACCAGCGCTGAATTTAGCCAGTGATGGGAGTCCCTCCCTCAAATTCAAACCCTGGAAAACAAAGTGAATGAGAAGCAGAGCTGGAGTTCAAGATGGATTCCAAAGGTAGAGAGTGCTGGGTTCAGACCCTTCTTCAGTACCCACTAGCTATGTGACCCTGGGCAAGTTACTTAACCTCCAGAAATCTGGTTCCTCCTCTGTAAAACGGGGATAACAATACTTACCTTATACCGTTGGGAGAACTTTAAAAAGAAACAATGCGTTTAATGCATGTAACCCAATGTCTGGTATAAGTACTTGGGTAAACGTTAAGCCCTTGTGCATGGAAGCCATAAGGGCTAGTAGTTAAGAGCCTGGGGTCTGGAGCCAAACTGCGTGTGTTCAAATCCCACTCCTACCATCTACTAGCTGGGGACGTGGATAAGGTATATAACTTCTTTGTGACTCAGTTTCCCCATCAGTAAGATGGACTTTTATTATACACACATTAGACGTAATAAACATTAGCTATCTGTATTTCACTAAGAGTAAAAACAGCCTAAGGAGTCTTGGTGGCGGAGTGGTTAAGTGCTCAGCAGCTAACCAAAAGGCTGGAGGTTCAAACCCACCCAGCCACTCCACAGGAGAAATACCTGGCAATCTGCTCCCATAAAAATTACAGCTTAGAAAACTCTATGGGGGCAGTTCTACTCTGTCACATGGGTACTATGAGTCAAAATTGACTCAAAGCCAGCAACAACAAAAAGAACAGCTCGGTTTCCACCTCAACCAACAATGTAGAAGTGGATTACATGAGAAACCAAAATGAAAAAAACCCACAGCCGTAGAATGGATTCTGACTCATAGTGACCCTGTAGGACAGAGCAGAACTGCCCCATAAGGTTTCCACAGCTGTAAATCTTTACCGCTAGTAGATTCCAACAGCCTACCATTCCTCCAGCAGCCAAGTGCTTTAACCACTGTACCACCAGGGCTCCTGATTACATGAGAGTTCAGTGTAATGCGTACTTTTTGAAAAAACTGTGAAGAGCTTTATGCTTTTATGATTTTTCTGGGCAGAGTCAAGCTGTGATGCTAAGGGTGTGGCTAAACTGTAATATGAAGGGAAAAATTCAAAGGAGAAAAAAATCGCCCACCAGGGAGCTATTTCTTTTGTAATATACATTCCATTTCTTCTTCCTCATGCTTTTTAATTCCTTCCACATTTCCTGCCATAATTATCAAATGTTTGGTTTCTGACCTCACTTTTCTGGAGACTAGAGCCCAGGGAATTCAGAATTGTTTATTTTCTGTCCATAAACCTTTGAGTTAATGGAGGGGCTTTCGAGCGGAGGGTTTGTTGGTTTGTTTGTAATGTCTCAGGAATGTCACTGGAGTTGAAAAGAAAACATTACCAAATTAAAAAAAAAAAAAAAAAGGCGCTGAAATACTTTAACTGGAAACGCAGAGCCCCCAAAGAGCAGAGCACCGGATCGCTCATATTTGCATAACACTAACCAGTTTAGGGGAAATTTTAGATTTAAAAGGCCGTTGTATGGCCCGGATAATAACATAAAACCCGAAGGCTCTTTATAAGAAAGAGAACAAATATCAGAGAATCTTACAGTCTCACTTCATAGAAAAGAAAAATTTATTTCGCCCCCCAAAAAGTCTGTTGAGATTTCGCTTCTCTCCACTCCACACTCCCCCCCGCCCCCCGCGAGCAGACAGACTTGGAACAGAAAAGTCTCCAACTATTCTCAATTTCCTCTTATGGGAAGGAAAGAACTCAAGGCGCCTTTTTGAACTCGGCTGCTGCTCTGGTCGCCGCCTCCGTCCCAATCGGCCAGCTCGTCCTCTCTCCCCCTCCCCACTCTCCCTCCATATTAGCGAGGTGGGGTTCCCACTTACGGCCCAAACTACTTTTCCTCGTCTTGAGATTTAACTTTCCTAAGTAGCATTCCTGAGCGGAGCGCGTACTCTACCTCAAGTATGGAAAGTCACAGTCCCACCCCAGAAGAGCCTCCCCAGGACCCACGCACAGCCCGCCCGACCCGCAGACCCAAGTGGCCCCAGGGCCGGAGTTCGGACCTCCTCTGCCAGTCACCTACCTCGGCGTGGACCCAGGCGACGGCCACCAGCGCGAGCGCAAGCCAGCGTTTCCACATCTGCGGAAGAGAGAAGAGAGCGAGACTGAAGTCGCCGGGCCCCGCGCCGACTCGGGAAACTTCCTGGGGTCCCGCAGGCTCGCCCCTCCGCCCGATCACCCCGGCTGCCCGGCGGGGTCCGGCGCCCGCGCTCTGCTCCGCCCTGCGCGCCCCGTGCTCACCGTGGTCCCGTCCCGGTCTCCGGAGGGCTCGGGGCGCGGCGGCGGCAGCGAGCTCTAAGAAGGTGGGAGCTATGCTTCTCGCTTGCCTCGGAGGAAATACGACCTGGGCTCGCCGCCCCTTAAGACCCCTCTTTTCCCGACTGCCGGCCCCCCAGCTCCTCCCCATTCTCCTCCCCCTTCTGCAGCAGCGGCCCCGGCGACTCCCGGCCCCCTCCTTCTCCGGCGCCCCGCTCCCAGGCGCCCGTGTGCGTCCTGGCGCCGCACGAACCCCTCTCCCCGCCGTCCCTTCACCGAGCACCCCTCCGGCCCCCAGGGCGTTGGAGGGGAAGTAGAGAGGGGGGCGTCCCGGAGGACACTGCAACAAAGGCGAAGAAGGAGAGGGGGAGAGCGAGCTGAAACCCCACCCCGGGGAGGGGCCGCTCGCTCGCGGCATCTGGGGCGGGCAGGCGGCGCGGGCTGCGGCGCTGGCCAGGTGGGCGGTGCCGCCGGGGCCCAGTGACCGCGCTGGGGCGGGAACCTGGAGGAAAAGGCGCCCAGAGGCCTGGGGAGTCGGAGCTGTCCCCTACAGCTGGAAGAGAGGGGGCCAGGGGTGCAGAGAGGACCCCACAGCCAGTGATTGAAGCTGCCACTGAAGCCGGGCGCGGGGAGCGCAACACCGGCCGACATGTGGAAGGCTGCTTTGGGTTCAACTGTGGGTTTCCTGGAGAAAGGTGGCTGCCGCCCTGTTCGCTAAGAAGATCCTTTCTCCAGGGTTTGCTGGCAGCCTCATCCGGTCCTTCCCTTGGGTCCAGGAACGGTGTCCCCTCCTCTGCACCATCCCCGCCGCCCACCCCCTCACCTGTGTTCCCACTCCCACCCCTGTCATCCCAGCTATCTTCCATCTTCATGCTTCCCATCTCGACCGACTTCTTCCCAGCCGCTTTCAGATGTCCGCTGCCTCTTTGATGGCGTTGACTCCCCAACTGCTCCCCGCTGTGGCTTTTTCCTACCTCGGGTCTGTGTCCCTGGTTCGCAGAAAAAAAAATCCACTTGGCACTTCAGATTTAACGTGCCCAAGATTGTGTCCCACTTTGCACCAGCTCCCCTGGCATGTTCACCGGTCCCTCTCAGAGTGGTGCCCCATTCGCAGTGGTTAAGACCTTCGGCTGCTAACCAAAATGTCGCAGTTCGAATCCACCAGCTGCTCCTTGGAAACCCTATGGGGTAGTTTTACCCTGTCCTATAGGGTCGCTGTGAGTCGGAATCGACTCAACGGCGACGGATTTGATTTTTGGTTTTGGCCTGGAAAACTTATCTCCAACCCCCAGACCCAGGTAGTCACCATAGCCTGTCAGTTTTTGCTTTGAGAGCTCATACCCATCCCTTCACCCCCATTCGCCATTCCATTTCCCTAGACCAGACCCTCATCTTCCCTCACAAGGGAATTCTGGAAACCACTTTCTTGTTGGACTCCCAATCCAGGCTTCCCTCCCCTAGTCTCCAGTACAACCCATTGCCATATTTTCTTAACCAAAAAAAAAAAAAAAAAAAGCCAAACCCATTGCCGTCTAGTCAATTCCAACTCATAGCGACCCTATAGGACAGAGTAAAACTGCCCCATAGTCAGCCACCACCACTGACTGCTCTGACCAGGATCACAGCAGAGGGTTCTGGACAGAGCTGGAGAAAGATGTAGAGCATAATTCTAACTCACAAAGAAAAGACCAGATTTACTGGCCTAAAGGAGACTGGAGAAACCTCCAGAGTATGGCCCCCAGACACCCTTTTAGCTCAGTGGTGAAGTTACCTCCAAGGTTCACTGTTCAGCCTGGGAGTGGACAGCCCCATAAAACCAAATGAGACTAACGAGGTCCAGTGGTCCAGTGACAAGGGCCAGAAGGCAGAAGGGGACAAGAGAGCTGGTGATAGGGAACCCAAGGTTGAGTAATGATATTGTTGATGTGTTGTGAGATTGTTAACCATTGTCATAGGACAACATTTGGAGTAACTGTTAAATGAGAAACTATTTTGTTCTGTAAGCGTTCATCTTAAGTGAGAATAACAGCACAATTGGAAGAGTGTAGTCAATGTCTCCGAACTGTGCATGTAGAAATTTTTGAAACGGTGTATCTTTGCCTATGTGTAGTTTCACCAAAAAAAAAAAAAAGGGTTGAGAAGTTAGAGGGTTAATATGTTGTGGGGTTGTTAACCAATGTCATAAAACAACATGTGTACTACTGTTTCATGAGAAAGTATTTGTTCTGTAAGCCTTCACCTGAAGTACAATAAAATATATATTAAAAAAAAAAAAAGACTGCCCCATAGAGTTTCCAAGCAGTACCTGGTGGATTTGAACTACAGACCTTTTAGTTAACAGCTGTAGCACTTAACCACCAAGCCATCAGGGTTTCCTGTGTTTGTTTACTACCTGATTTAAATACTGTCTTCCTCCTGGTCTTCCTTCCCCTGCTCAGAAATCTTCAGTGCTCTTCTTCCCACATCAAATCCAAACTCTCCACCTTCCTTGTAAGCATCTCATTACTGGGTCTACCCTATCCAGCTAACCTGACTGCAACATAACTCCCTCTGCTCCAATCAGGCCAGTCTTCTCCCTGTGCTCTGAACTTGTTATAGTCGCTCTTCTATCAAGGTTTGTTGAGTGCCTTCTGTTGAGGTTTTAGGGGGCCACAAAATAACACCCATGTTCCCCATGCAAGTTCAGGATTGATTGAGAGAGTCTCAGGAGTCAGACTGACAGAGAGCAAAATGTCAGCCCTGTCCCTGGTAAAAGCTGCAATAGTGGCCGTGGCTTTAGTTCTGCAGGGACGGTGGGCTTGCTAGGACTTCCCCCAGAACCGAACATGCCCACTCACTCACAAGCAGAGTTGAAAAATTGCTTGTGTAAAACTGACTGTGTGGAAAAGCAGGAAACGTAGTGCTTCCTGAAGCAGGCCTGCTCCCTAAATCTGAGGGGCACAGAGCCACATGTCATGGAATGAATTCTGTCCCCCCCAAAAATGTGTGTATCAGTTTGGCTGGGCCACGATTCCCAGCATTGTGTGGTTGTCCTCCATTTTGTGATTGTAATTTTATGTTAAAGAAGCTTAGGGTGGGATTGTAACCCCCTTACTAAAATCACATCCCTGATCCAATGTAAAGGGAGTTGTTTCCCTGGGGTGTGGCCTGCACCACCTTTTATCTTACAAGAGATAAAAGGAAAGGGAAGCAAGCAGAGAGTTGAGGACCTCATACCACCAAGAAATCAGTGCTGGGAGCTGAGTGCATCCTTTGGACCCGAGGTTCCTGTGCAGAGAAGCTCCTAGTCCGGGGGAAGATTGTTGACGACAAGGGCCTTCCTCCAGAGCCAATGGAGAGAGAAAGCCTTCCCCTAGAGCTGGCGCCCTGAATTTGGACTTGTAGGCTACTAGACTGTGAGAAAATAAATTTCTCTTTGTTAAAGCCATCTATTGTGGTATATCTGTTAGAACAGCACTAGATGACTAAGACACTACACTTGCATAGTTCAAATTCCCCAGTCAGACAACTCATTCCTGCTCTTGTGTGGTGGTAACAGGAGGAGGAACTAAGAGGTGTCCCCCACCAGTCCTCTGTTACGGGCACTGTGCTCGCATGGAGAGGAACTACAAGATACAAGAGGTTGTTCCTGTCTTCTAAGAACCCACAGTACTTTGCATGCATTGTACATGTACTGCACCTCCCTCAAAATCACAATCTGGTATTATCTCCTTTCCGCCTTCTGTCTATTCAAATTCTTTTTTAAGGACCCCATTCAAGTTTCATCACTTCTCTAGCGTCTATTTTGCTAGCAGCTTGGCCTGGCAGAAAGCACATGAGGCTTGAGATCAAACAGACCTGACTTTGTGACCTTCCTTAAGTTACTTAAGCTCTCTAAACCTGGGTTTCTGCAGCTGACAAATGGCAGTATTCAAATCTTGCAAGGAGGTGTGAAATTTAAATACGATAAGTTGTATAAAGTACCTAGCAGGTAGGAACAAAAACCAACTCATAGCGACCCTAGAGGGCAGAGTAGAACTGCCCCACAGGGTTTCCAAGGCTGTAAATCTTTACGGAAGCAGACTGCAGCATCTTTCTCCCTTGGAGTGGCTGCTGGGTTCAAACCAGCAACCTTTTGGTTAGGAGCTGAGCACTTTAACCAGTGTGCCACCAGGGCTCCTTAGGTAGTAGACCCTCTATAAATGATAACCATTATTATTTAATTGATCTACTTCACATCTAAATTGCGGTTGGTATCTTACAACTTGGCATTTTATTGCTTACTGATATATAATGTTTAACACTTGTTCACGTGGTTGTTCTTGATTCTTCAGTTAGACTTTAAGTTCCCTAGGGCATAGGCAATGCTTTTCATGTCTTTATTCTCCAGAGAATTTGAGGCACAATTCATGGATTTGACTACATCCAAATTAAAGATTCTTGTTCAATCTAGAGAACCATAGACCAAATGATAGGTTAGAAGAAGATACTAACCAAAAAAACCAAAAAAAACCCAAACCCATTGCTGTCAAGTCGATTCCGACTCATAGCAACCCTAGAGGACAGAGTAGAACTGCCCCATAGGGTTTCCAAGGAGCATTTGGTGGATCTGAACTGTTGATCTTTTGGTTAACAGCTGTAGCACTTAACCACTATGCCACCAGGGTTTCCGAAGAAGATCCTCCAATATCTACAACTGACATGGAACTCATCACTACAATATAATTAGATCCCTAAACATCAATAAGAAAAAGAGAGGAAACTCAACAGAAAAATGGGCAAAGGGAACAGGCAATTCACAAAAGAGGAACCCCAAATGGCTAGCAAATATAGAAAAGATGCTGAAAGTGTTATTTTTTTCTTTTTATTTATTTATTTTTGTAGTTCAGGTGAAGGCTTACAGAACAAATAGTTTCTCTTGAAACAGTAGTACACATATTGTTTTATGACATTGGTTAACAACCCCACAACATGTCAACCCTCTCCCTTCTCGACCTTTTTTTTTTTTGGTGAAA